TACTTCCCCTTTACAAAGGGAAAGACTATCAAGTCATTGATTCTTTTTCATATATGTCTTTCAAACAATAAATAACGTTACTTGAACCACATTAAAGCCTCTCCAAATATCATCTAACAGAATATTTATTAACTCAATAATTCCCCAATTAAGACCTGCTCTATTGCAGTTTGTTATCTATTCATATCCATTTGTGTGAAGTTCTTGATTTCTAGAGTTTATTTAGTTGATACATTGAATAGTAAATGTTTCGTGATTATCGTTTTTAGGTTTGTCTTGATATTCAAACTGACTTAGTTAATTACATCGGAGTTTGTCGGTGCATTCACCGAGTACATATTGATCTGAACGGTTTGCATACTATTGAGTATTTGAGATAACATTGGATAGGAACGTTTATCTGTTCGTTGATCTAAACATTTTCTTCACGACGCTTATGTCTATCGATTTATTTAAAACAAAAGGAGGTAACTTTGGGAATAATGAAAAAAAAAATTATATTTCTGCATAAACTTTTTCTTCTTGTTGAATTCTTCTCCACATAGAAATGGCAAAATCCCTAAATCCATAAAAGCTTCTTAGTCATATAAGTCTACATTGGCTTATCCTTTCAAAATTAGACGGGCACCCCATTAACACTGATTTTTGCAAACCCAAACTTTGGGATCTCACAATGCATACCACACAATATGCTTTTATGCAAAAGAAAAAATCCTTCCAATTTGGTTGGAAATTCCTGCTATTCTGCAAAAGAAGAAAAACCACCCAGGTCTTAAATTATCAAATTTGTTAAACCATAAGATATTATTAAAAGTCGGTGTTCCAATCATGTTACTAAAGAATATTGATTAGAAATTTGGGTTATGCAATGGAACTAGACTACGGATGTTATCTTTAAGAAATCGGGTTATAGAAGCAAATATCATATCTGGAAGCAATATTGGAAGTCGGACATTTATTCCAAAAATGTCTGACACTTACAGACAAAATGATTTCATTCAAATTTCAAATGAGACAATTTCCAATTGATGTATGTTTTACCATATGACCATAAATAAAAGCCAATGACAGTCATTATCGAAGATTGGTTTATTTCTAAGACAATCAGTCTTACCCATGATCAAATATATGTTGCTTTATCTATATGTTGATTTTATAGATGATAATTGTATAATTAGTAATAGATCAAAGAATGTTGTATATAAAAAATTATTTAGTAATTTATGATACGTGGTTCTTATTTTATTACTATTTTAAGTTTTTGTCTTTCTATAATTTCATTTACATTCTGTTATAAGTTTTGTTTTACAAATTCTTAATATTTACTCATATTATTATAAAATGCATATTGCTTTCATTTAATTTTGTAAAATATCTCATGTAATATACGAGTTCGAACCTAGTGTGTATATATATATATATATATATATATATGTGTGTGTGTGTGTGTTTTTTTTTATGTTCTGATTAAATATGTTATTGTGTTGTAAATACTAAAATTCAATAATTCTTAAATTAGTTTGGTACATTAAAGTAGAAATTATTAAAACTTAAAAGTTAATACAACTTTAATCTATTAAAATGTGTTTGTATTCTCTTAAAACTGAGGGACCATCTTATAAATATCAAAACCATAACGAAAAAATAATGTGGGGCTTAATCATTTGAAAATTTCAAAATTTGTGAGATCTTTTACTTATGGTTTTGTTTCACATGATTTTTCCCATCCAAATGTAGTATTTAATGTATTAATTAGCATACATTTGTTTCATAATATGTTTGTTTCATATATATATATACACATATATATTTATATAGAGGAGCGATCAAATGCAAACCATCTAATTTGTACAAACCGTGCAAACCACTTTCATCCATCGATTTTATTGTTTAATCTTATGAATTTTTTTCATGAAATTGGTTAACCTTGTGAAATTGTTTCATATAATACTTTTTTTGATGAATTTGTTTCATATATGGTTATGATATTGTTTCATTTAATACTTAATGAAATTTAATGGAACTGTTTCATGTATTTCTCTAAAATAAAAATAATGAAGATGATAATATTCATGATTAACATCTTCCACAATAAAAATGATTATAAACACCTGATTTGAATCTTGAGGTACCATATAAAACCCTAACTCTTTCTATGAGACAAATTATAGCAACGCTTGGTTTGTTTTGGTTTCTATATAGTGTAAGAATTTTTGTTGATCCCCTCTCTCAGTGATTTGATGATAATCTTTTTTCACTTATACGATGTATTTATGTATCTGTCTTTTCAGTTCCAGCGATCATCACTGAATCTGTTCAGTGATCGCTGAAGCACTTGTATTGTAATTCAATCAGAGACACCGATACTTCAAGAATACAACAATCACACCAAAGAACCTTCAGTCAAAGTCGAAGACTGAAACTGAAGATTAGAGACTGGCGAGTACGTGATCTGAAGCGATACTCAGTGATTACAAGTCTGTCTACATATGTGTGAAGACTACTCAAGCCTCAGCGAATGCTGAAGAGACCTCCAGATTATTTCAGCATTCATCGATCAAAGAAAGCTTGTCAAGCACGATTGTTATTGTCTTGTCCTTATACACACAAAGGACAAACTCATACTCTTTCTAAATGTTAGTATGGTACGGAGCCGACTAGTTGACTCTATTACCCACCAACTTTAGGTAAGGATGTCTGCTTATGAATAGGCTTTTTGTACTATTCACTGTAGCAAAGGACAAGTCTACCTCTTAAGGCTTGACACGCACTCTAATCCTACCATATTGCATTAAATGTGCATTTAATGCAATGGGTATAAATAGAAGTGTTTCTTCTCCATGCAGAGTGCGCGCGCAACACACTTTCTTAACCTAATTCTTACTTTGAGCATTCTAGAGCTTAAGTAAAAGAACTTTTCAAAGGAGCATATCTTTTCTCATTTGCTAAGATTTTGTGTGTAACCAAAGATTGTTTAGATAGGTTTTTTTACCTTATCTTTCCGCAAACAGTCTTATAAAATTTGTATTGATCTTCTTTTATCAATATACATTTTAAATTTGAAAATATTGTGTTTGTATTCATCCCCCCTTCTACAAACTGTTATACATATCTTGTAAACCCTCAAGGCACCAACAATTTTCTTTGTCGAATTCGTTGTTTATAAGAATTTCTTTTATTTTCTTTTTGATTGTTTTCAAAGTACCTTTTTGAGTTTTTGGTTGATTTTCAACGACTTTTTTTGTGTTTTCGGTTTATGTTCCCTCATTTCTGTTATTTTGGAGCACCTTATAAAGTCTACCAGATGCACTATGGAAATAATAAGATGAGATCTGAAACTTTTGATCTATTCGTGGTAACTAGAACAATAGCTTTTATCTATTCAAATATATTTAGTTGTAGAGATTAAGCACATCTTAGCGTCCTAATGTCTTAAAATCTTTTTAAACAAAACCATCGAAGATTTAAAATCGTTTATATTCATGTTTCCCGCTACATTGTGCGAGTTCACAACTAGTATATATATAGATATATATATATATATATATATATATTCGATTCACAATGTATTTGCTTCATATATATATATATATATATATATATATATATATTCGATTCACAATGTATTTGCTTCATATATATATATATATATATATATATATATATATGGTTCATGATCTAAAACTCTTACGTGTATTTTTTTTGTTTCACAAAGACAAAAAAGATTCACATTCTAGACTTTGTAATTGTGAAACAAACAATTTGTTAAACAAATATATGTCAATCACTTCATTAAATTCTAGTGGATGAAAAAATAAATAAACTAGCACAAGATCACTGGTTCTTACAGATCTCACAATTTAGAAAGTCCTCAAAAAAGGTCCTTCAAAATAATGTTACACAAAATTTGGTGTTTTACCATTCATAACACTAAAATAGTGCAAAAGTAAATGCATTCGATAGATAGGATTTAATGCAAAAAACAAGTTTAATGCAGATTTCGTACATTCATTAGAGATGATCTAAAGAGGTAAACATCCTTACAAAATGAAAAAGAAGCAAAGACTCGTCTAGTTACAACTCACCTACCTCCGGGACTCTCGACGACGTACCATTTTGCATAATACAGATAAACCTTTTACAGATACAACAACATTAGTTTATAACAACAACAAAAAACGAATAATTGAAATCAAAAACCACATCACTCCTCAAACCAACAATCGATTTGGTGTCTAACGCACTATGTTAGAAAGACTCGGGTTCGTAAGAGGAGCACCCCTAGTAAATGGGTAACACCCACCTCCGGTGAAAAGGAAAAGTTCACCCAATTCATGCATGAACCGCACCCGCCAATCAAAGAAATCAAAATGTCAAAGGTCTGATCAACACCCAAACTTGTTCATCCTACCTTCTTTCTAGCATATTGGTAAGTTGCAAAGACTTTCTTCTTAGGCGCATTCGCTAGGGTTCAGGTGGCAGCGTAACTGCCTTTTTTAACTTCATTCGAATCTTTCCTTCATTGGAAATTTAACCACATTCAGTCACCCAAGATTCATCATGAATCCCGACTTCACACCTCTTGGCAAAAGAGCTCATATAAGTACATACTGCTGGTTACTAAGACCTAAACATTACAAATTGCTCCATAGTACTAATATTAAGGTTATCTAAGGCCCGACATCTTTTGTCAAAAGGTCTTGTCTTTCGGAAAAATATTAACTTGACCAAATTGTCCTTACTTTGCACCAAATTAGTCAAAGTCGTTGACTTAGTAGGTCAAAATGGTCGAGTTACTTTACATTTACCCGAAAGTAAGACCTTAGGTAAAAGATAAAATATTTCATTTGATAATATAAAGATCAAACAGAAAGATTTTTTCGACCCTGAACACCAAGAAAGCTAGAAACTTTGATGCAGTTATTGTCTTTGAGGGCTCCAAATGCTATTCAATCACACAAATACAAGATTCCATGCAATGCATACTTTCTTTAAACTAATATTGTTTGAGTGATCCCCATCTTCCAAGCCAACTTTTGCTTTTAAGATTTTTTGGAAACTCTAAGGTTGTTATATCACTGATTTAAGCCTCACGACCAAGCCTTGGATCGTGAAGTTCTGATACAGTGACTATAAAATATAAAGAAACAAACAAGCCCAATATATCCCACGCGGAGGTAGAGTCATGGGTAGAATGTGCACAGTGAATATGGAAATGTGAATCACACCCAAGCAGCATACACATGTTAAGAATATGTTCACCGGGTATTCTTGATTATGCAAGGAGCATACATGTTTCCAGTCCTCCTTTTAATACTTATAAAGCTATTATTACCAACACTTGGGTACGAACGGTGAAGAATTTAGCCTTCTTCTGCCAGTCAGTTTTAGCACATAAACCCGACTAGCGTTTGGCATTTGTGGGCTATCCTCCAATAATGAGCCTATCTTGACCAATTATGACTATATGATCGTTGACTATTGCAGGGGATTGACCCCGTGAATTAGTTGCATTAAAGGTGTGTACAACCGTTACAAAAAAGAAGAGCAAATGCAGTAGTTGATAATACAGAAAATATGTTAACTTTTTGGTAGTGTTGCTAAGAACAAACCTTTCACATGCAAGAGGCCTGAAATGATAGAGTGATTTACATAGCTGGACTGATTCAAGTTCCTGTGGTAGTGGTTAATTGAGTGTCGCAGACACTTCCAAATCCAACCTGGGCTCTATTTTCACTATCTGCTGGTATTCCATGTGATCAATGAACAATAAATATTCATTCATTCATATGTGAATGACCCCCATCAAGCGCTGCCTAGATCAGAATCATATATGTATTATCTGAAACATTGTGACAAAATATAAGAACATTTATGGTTATACGTATGCTGTAGTGGGAAACAAAGAGGAATATGGCGTAAGAAGTTTGGAAAGGAAACGCCCAAAATGTCAGAAACTCGAAATCATCTTGCATTTACATGAAAGAATGATAAGTTATAAGTATACGTATTTATATATACATAGAGAGGGATTTTCAGATAACAACCGACTCCAAATAGAAAAAGGGAAAAAGAAGTCGTTAGGTCAACGTCTCTATGCTCATAAACTTCAGCCTAACCCTAGGATTTAGAAGCAGAATAGCCATGGAAAATCATCATCAACCAGAGCTTCTTTCAAACAGAATAACCATGGAACGTCATCATCATCATTCTAACACAAACATGTCACAAAAACCCAATAGCGACTTCGGATTTTAGAGATTCAAACCTACATAGATGTTTTTGGTATTTCATTTAAAAAATACCGTCCCAGATGAAACAGCGGTTGGTAATTTCTCGGGAAAGGAACATAATTCTTTGCAATTTTCAGGTCAAAAAGGATATCATTCACAAAAATTGGTAGACATGGACAAGTAAGAGATGGATATTACCTACATATGCATATGTTGAAGACTAATTTGCTAGAAATTAGGGTTCATAATCCTCCGATTCGTGAGAGAAGCTCCATATGCTGATGTTTCGAAATCTCATCATAGGGGTAAGGTTAAGCAGAAGTTTTGAACATAGACACGTTGAGGGCGGAACCCCTAACATCAACGATTTCAACGGAACCCTAACGTTAATGAGAAATGCTAAATAGGAAGATCCTACCCTTCGTCCTAAAGTACTGCATATTTTTTTAATAAAGATAAACTATTTTATAAACTAGTTTATTTTTTTTAAATAGGAAAAATTGTACCAAAATGGAACCAACTTTTACATGATTTCTATTTTGGGGGAACGAACTTTTAAAATCGTCATTTTGGGGAACCAACTTTCACCTGATTCATATTTTGAGGAACCAACTTTCAAAATCGTCATTTTAGGGAACCAACTTTCACCTGATTCCTATTTTGGGGAACCAACTTGCAAAATAATTATAGAAAAATGGGAAAATTACACCAAAATAGAACCAACTTTCACATGATTTCTATTTTGGGGAACCAACTTTTAAAATCGTCATTTAGGGGTCTCTATCGAACTTTTTGTTTATTTAAGGGTCTGATTGATCTGTTGAACATGTAACAGATAATTTAAGGGTCTCTATCAAACTTTTGGTTGGATTTGCCAAATTTGATTTAAACTTTAATATTGACACAGATTGGTTA